CTACTGCGGCTAGCTTCACATTCCACTCCAGAAGCAGCTTAGGCTCAAAAGGTTTTACCACGATTCGTATTGTCCTCCCACGCGAAAGTGGCGGCTGCTGCGCGGATTCCAACAGAGAAATGTTTCGAATATACGTCCATTCTCTTTTTGGGCCGTTTTATCAAACAAAGCCAGGAGCTGGTCTCTGAGTTCATCTAATGATTTTTTCGTACCGGAGGTCGTCGATGCCAATTTCAGGTTGAGGTACAACGGTTTACTTTATAAAGAGGTAGGCAAGTAAGAGTTGTGAAGAAAGGTCGCGTGAGGATGCATTATTTCATCGTTCAGGCCTTTTCCAGTGTTGCATGTTGTTGCTACACGATTCTACACATTCTTCACTATTTTACTAAATAATGCAGTAGGAATGTAGAATTTCGAGTATGGTTACCTATTGGACTGAATAAGTACACCAAAAATTGTGACTTCCAATGGATCTTCTGGCTACCACTTTTTACAAGCACATCCAGAAACAGCAAGATTGCTGTTTTTCAACAATTGCAGTGAATTTCTTGCATTTATTGTTTACCGTTTTACTCGCCGTAAAATCGTTCGCTGGTCTTTGAAAATGAAACCGAATTAGCATCGACGAAAGGGCGTAAAACAACCTGGGTATTAATCCATGGCTCTCTTCAGCATTATTACAGTTCTAGCTCTTTTGTCCCCGCTGAGAAGACACTCAAGCCAACTTTTTTCAGCTCTTTTATTAGCCTTTAATGTTGCAGTGATGCACTGATAGACGGAACTGTGATTTCGCCATATTATTTCAATTTAATTATTGCAGTAATTAATTTCTTTTAGCTCATACAAAACATTTTTTAACCCTGCATCAGGATCTGTAATAGGATAAGGGGTTCTCGACTACGAAGCGTGTTCCAAGAGCTAGAACATTCGTCACTAATCTATGACGAATAAATTTATTTCCTGACTGAATAACACAAAACCGTAACTTAGGATTTTGTGATTGATGCACTTTATGGTGCCAAAACGTTGTCTTTAAATTATTCAGTTTCGATTATGTTTTCGGTCTTTGTAACGAAACGCTTCGACTTTAAACAAAACTTTTCCGTGTCGGTTTTGAATTTGGGTTTCCTAATCACGCATCAAGAAAATAATCCGTAGAAGGGTTAAAATATCATCAAACAATTACATGCTTAAATGATTATGCAGAGGGACGAGGGGGGGGTCTAGGAGTAAGGAGCCAGTGCAGTACGTCTTGATTTCAAGTTCTGTGTCGAAGTATTCTAGCGTAAGAACCGACTGGGTTTGGTTGTTTCGCAAAACATCGTCAACGCAGATATTGGAGAAGCAGCAACTATACCTTGCCCCTAGAAGAGGCGAACAAAGCCCTTGGGCGAATCCATTCTTTCTTCTCTGAACGGAAGCATATTGGGCTGCGGTTTGTTTGCTTGGTCGAGGTGTGTCTGACTTCGTCGTTCAAAAGGCTGTCCGCCGAGGTACTCCTGTTGATCGGCGTGTAGCCGCCGGAAACAAGCTTGTGTGGCCGCCAGAGTCGCCAGTGCCCGCCTCGCTTCTCCTTGTCAACTTTCATCGCA